TGTCACATCTAAACTCGCACTGGAAAGACTGCAGAAATTCCATGAAATAAATGAGGAAATTTCAGCTAAAAGTCAAATCAACGCCTTTTAATTTAAATCATCAAAATATATAAATGCATTACAAATACGAAACAGATGCCTTGGCAATCTGAGTACACAAATACAGAGATTTTCTGGACTCTGTAAAAGAACTCTTATAGGATCAAAGGCACAATTTGTACAGAAATTTAACATGCAGGGCAAAAAAGAGACAAACTGTTTCATAACAGGAATGACGATTATACCGGAAACTGAAATTATGTGTGCGGATAAGAGCTCATTAAAAGTCTTAGATCATAGAAAGGGTAAAGTAGCATCAATCTGTCAAGTCTTCTCGCTGACGTCACAACTATAAATTCTTCATATGCAGCAACAACTTTACCGAATGAAGGCAAAATATTGTTTGTGATTACACAAAGTGTTCTGACTAAAAGTCACAGTCTGGATGTCAGGAAAGAATGTATGGGCATAGATCATCGTAATGGTATGATGGCGGTGTCGTTCACTAAACCTTCCGCTGTTCAGGTTATAAACATGGACGGACATATTTTTCATACAGTGAAAGAAACAAGCGTTCTTAAATCGCCATTATATGTGTCCATCAGTGACGATAATAAAAACATGTTTGTATCTGACATCGGTAACGAAGCTGTACATGAATTTACCATCAAGGGAGTGCTGAAAGATACAACAAAAAGTGAGAAGATGGGATCGCCATTAGGCTTGACAGTTACCAATTGTGGATGTGCTGTTGTTTGTTATCAAGGTAAAAGCGATAAAGTAGGACTAGTTGTATATGGTACAAGAAAAATACTGCCTTCTTACCTGCAAATGTACTAAAACCGCGTCTATCCTGATTTCTGAAGACCAAAACAAAATGTTTTTCAGTGAACATTTGAAATCAGCAGACTGCAATTTCATAAATACATTTGACTTTTAGTAACATCGTATAATATGAAAAATATTTTAGTACTAGTAATACAATTTGAGCCTACCAAAAATCATCCTAATGAAAAGTATGTTTATAAACAAGAGTCCAAGTATAGGGGATTTATCTAAATTCTTTAAAGATATTATTTATAAAAGCTTACATAATTAACAGTATAGTCGAGTTCTCAGAAACATAATGGTTGGCATAAATGCAGCTAATAATTCGGTAAAAATCATGATTGGAAATATGTGTGACAATCATACCCAATTTAAAAACGCCCACTGATAACCAAATCCGAATTATTTTCAACAGGTATGCATTTTGTACTTTCGGTTTATGATGACTTGCAAATTAATACGTAATCCCCATGCTTTTTTTGTTGGGTTTCAAGTGACGTCGATACTGTAATGGTCATATGACTACTCTACATTCAGTATTTACTCATTAAACGGTAAAAAGTCATGTAAAACTAATTAAAACTACATCTAGATATAAACATTAATTCTTACGTTTTTCTTCAACAAGTTAACATAACTTTGTACGTGATGTATAACATAATTTTTACCTATTAATTACATTCTTTTAAGATTTCCAACCTGGTTTTTTTTTTCCAAACTCTATAAAATATGGCTATAAAAATAAACTTTCAAGCTTCAACTGTCAGTACATACGATTTTTCTACACTTTATACAACTTTGCCACATAAATTAATCAATGATAAACTAATTTCCCTAATTCAGAAAACTTTTGCACGGGGAAAAAGTTACCTTTCTAGCATGTAATTCTAACAAAGCTTTTTTTACTAACGGTATTGTAAAACATTATACTATGTGGACCTGTGACGAAGTTTGTAGAGCACTCTCTTTTCTTTTAGACAACATTTATGTCAGGTTTGGTAATACCCTATTTAAACAGATCATAGGAATTCCTATGGGTACTAATTGTGCACCCCTGGTCGCCGATTTGTTTTTGTACTGCTATGAAAGAGACTTTATGTTGAGTCTCTCTGAAGATAAACAACAAGATGTTATAGTCGCATTTAATAATACTTCCAGATACCTTGATGATATTTTTAATTTAGATAATCCTTATTTTGATCAAATGGTGTCTGACATATATCCGCATGAACTACAACTTAATAAAACGAACTCTTCAAATTTTAGTACATCATTTTTGGATCTTCATATTACTATCAACAACAATTCTATTCACACGAAAATCTATGATAAAAGAGATGACTTTGACTTTTGTATAGTTAATTATCCACATTTAGATGGAGACGTACCCCATGCAACATCTTACGGGGTTTATGTTTCCCAGTTAATTAGATTCGCTAGAGCTTGTAGCAACGTAAAGGATTTCAACGAGCGGAACATTTTTATTACCAGCAAGCTTCTAAAACAGGGCTACCGCTATCATAAATTACGGAAATATTTTACAAAATTTTACAATCGTAACTTTGATTTAATTTCCAAATTCAATAGTGATTTAAAAACTCTTCTGCGACAAGGGATGAGCCAGCCTGGTTTTTATGGCGATGTGATTTACAAACTTCGTAAGATTTTGGGTCATGGTAATTTTTCTGCTGTTTTTACTAAAATCATTAAACGTTTTATTAAAAGAGGTTATGACCCTACTATTTTAAGACATACTGCATGTTTAGTGTTCAACCCTTTTACAGTTGGACACTACGCTTTCCTCTTTTGATTGCATCTGACGGACCAAGTGGGAGACTCTATGATGGATAGTTCGTAAAGCCCTTTGAGACTGAATTGTCTTAATGTTAGTCTTCTGCCTTGCTTTGTCGGGCCCTTGTAGGTGATTTTCTTGTTGCTCTGTCTTCCTTTAGGACATTGAGTACTTTTGTTATGGTCATTGGGATTACTTTTGTATGTTTCTACATGACCATTTTAGTGTTTTACTTATTTAACCTTTTGTAACCATGACAACTGTTAGAATTTCACTTGGCGGGGATTCTTTTTATTTACACTGTCTCGTTTATAGGAACATGGTGGGGCTAAGAGCGAGGTTTGGTGCACCATTAACCGGTTTAAACTCCCCAGCAGTCATTATTATGCTGCTGACCGTTCCAAGGCGGCGCCCCACTGTGTTCCTCAGATGTATGTCTTATGTTGTTTCATACTGTTTTGGTGACACTTTTGCTTGTGTCCCTTGTTGTTTTCTCGTCTACGGTAAGTATCTTCCCCATTGCCTCTAGTTTTTATTTCTTTGATTACTCCCCACCCCCTCCCCCCCGGTCTCCTGTCCCCTTCCCCTTTGTGGGCCTATTTTTATTTTCTTTAAATTCCTAATCAGTTACAAATTAATTATCATTTAATGATTAACCTGTCCGTGCTCTGTCTTTGCCCTGTCCTGTTTTTGTTTGGGGTCCCCCTTGGCTCCTTGCCATTGGTTCTTGTTGCTGGGTCATGTGGGGGTTGCGTTCATTGAACGCCGCCTTTCCTTGTTGATCTTGTTTATCATATTTTTTGGCAATAAAAGGTGATTTCCTGTTTTGCTAAGGGAGACAAATACGTTTGTTTTACTTAATTATTGATTAATTAAATGCGTAATATTTCCCCTTGGAAGTATTATACTATAATATTATTATTGACGTTGAAATATGATTTTTTTCCAAAAAGGCTTAAATCAAGTTTATATATTTATATTATACATTTTATTTGAATATGTAAGCTAATATTTAACGCTCACGCTCTCGGGCCTTTACATTACTCATTATTTAAGTGTCTCGAAACATCTACACACTTACCAGAAAGATCATTGTGTTCTGCGGTAAAAAATAACACTTCTAAAAACCTTTGTTTTGTTAACTGCTTATATTTCCGCAAAACATTTTTATTCAATTTGCATCTTATTATCATTGATAACCACTTGTAAAACAGTATCTCTCCTCACTTCTTTAATTTGTGAACAATTTATTTTTTCTTATCATTTTTTCAAGATTTCTAAGAAGAGGTACATGTACGCCTTATCAAATAACAGGATTTTCCAGAATAAACCCACACAATTTAGTCATTTATGCGCTTTGTTTCATTGCTGAAGTCAAATTCAACGCTGATATTTACTTCCTATTTACTTCCTATTATTAAAAATATGACATGATTAAATGAGAAGGGCTTAAAGGTCCATTATGCCTCAGAAATGCTTTTATTTTACAAACGCGTTTTAATGTCAAGTAACCAAATGTTACTCATTGGCCAACTACTTGAACCATGTTTTCTTCTGTTGCTTTTTGGCAATAAGTACAGTTATAGCGAATGTGTTAATTTTGAACGGAAGTCAAAATACTATTTTGTTTACATTTTGCTAATTTTAAGACAAATTATTTCACATTTATGTCTTTTTCTTTTTCACATACCAAGTATCTTATATTCTCTAAAATCATTATTGAAATATTATAACATTCATTTTTGCCATTGGCTATAGAAGTAAAAATCTATTTGAGCCGTCATATGCGATTTCCAACATAGTGGTCAAATTAACCAATTTTACTTTTTTTCAAGGATTCTAAAAATGCATTATTTCCATTTTATATAAAGCAGGGTGGGATTTCAACAACTTCAAGCGTCTGAGACACACATCCACTACACTAACAATTGTCTCTTAATCATATACTTTTGTTTTAAGGGTCCTTTATATAAAACAATGATATACATGTGATATGATATCTTCCTTCTTCTCTTTGCATTTTAGTTTGTATTCTAATTTATTTTTGTATCAGACTATCAGCCAGACAAAATACTTGTGAAACATCTTGACACTGGAAATTAAATAACAATCAAAAGTAAGCCCTGGTAGTGTTTTTGTTGCATTGTCAATATGTCAAGTGTCGGTTGAATATCCCTTGAAATTTTGTTCAAGAGATTTACAAAAAGAATTTCACCACAATACTTTGCTAACAAAAGAGCATATGTCAATGTTTGCGGTTAAATCTCAAGCACACCATCTCATATATATTTTATTTTAGCTGAACGGCATTCTTTGCTACTCACTGTTTGAAGAAGGGGACACTTAATTAAAGCACATATTTGCTAAACAAAAAGATCTTAACTACTCTTTATTTTTGTGGATGTATTTGCTCTAATGATACTGCAGAGACAATAAAAACAGGTTAATAAATAAATAAAATAAACAATAGGAATGGAAGTTACTGGGCGTAAAGAGTCTTCCATGTCTGCTATATTCTGTCGTCCATGTCAGCGTGATAATGAAACAGTACACGCGGAGGGTTATTGTGAGACTTGTAATGAACATATATGCTCATCATGCATTACGGCACACCGGAAGTTGGCCAGCACAAAAAGTCACATAATTAAATCCAAAGAAGAAATGCCGACAAATCAGGCAGAAAGCGATCCATGCACTGAGCTCTGTGATGTTCATGTAAACGAAATAGTAAAGTTTTATTGTCAAGAGCACGACAGCGTTGGTTGTGGAGATTGTATGGTACTTCAACATACCTCTTGCAAGGTTCAACTCGTTTCAGATATATCGAGCAACTATGAAAACGGTGACGATCTTTTTGGAATCAAACACAGAATTGATTGTATCCAAAAGAATATTGCATCATATGAAAAAGAAATAGAATGCTGTCTGAAAACAGCTGAAGAAATAAAAACCAATGCCATCAGCGATATTAAACGATTCCGTAAAGAAATTGAAGACTACCTGAACAAAATGGAAGCAGATCTGTTACAAAAGGTTGATGAGATGAGTGCTAGCGATTTCACAACACTGCGGAAGCTTCCGGATAAATGCAAGACATTGGCAAGTAACATTGAAGAATTTCGAAATAAGCTAGAAAAGTGTAAAGACAATGTCGATTCTTTGTTTGTGGCATCTAAAATCGTAAAAGAAAGACTTTATAAGTGTCAAGAAATGAATGAGGAAATTTCATTTAAAAGTAAAATAAACGCATTCAAATTCATGCCCTCTGAACATATCAACAATTTGAAAATAAGCAACGAATGCCTTGGCAATCTTAACACACACGTGAAGAGATTTGCGGAACAATGTAAGAGACCAATTATTGGCATGAAGACAAGCTTTTTACAGAAACTAAGCATTGAAGCGAAATATGACAGAGACTGTTTCATAAAGGGGATGGCAGTAATATCTGAAGATGAAATTCTGTGTGCAGATGTTCACAACAGCTCATTGAAAGTTTTAAATCATAGAAAAGGCAAAATCACATCAACCGTGCAGTTGGAAACTTTTCCCGCTGGAGTCACTACAATTACCCCGTCATCAGCTGCAGCCACTTTACCAATCAAAGGCAAAATCTTGTTCCTGAGAACACAAAGTCGATTAAAGAAAAGTCATAAAATATCTGTCCGAAAAGGATGCCAGGCAATAGATCATTGCGATGGTAAAATTGCTGTTACTTTTTGCGAACCTCCCTCTGTTCTGGTGATGGACACGAAAGGTCAAATTCTCCTTGATCTTGTGGATACAGGTCTACTGAACTCTCCACGATATATATCCATGAGTAACAATAATAAGAGTATGCTAGTATCAGACTTGGATAACGAAGCCGTGTATGAATTTAACCTCAAGGGAGAGCTGCAAGCTACAAATAAAAGTGTAAAGATGGGCAAGCCGGCAGGAATAACAGTTACCAACTGTGGATGTGCTGTTGTTTGTTATCGAGGTAAAAGCGAAAAAGCCGGACTGATTGTACCTGAAACAAGGAAAATACTGCCTCTCTACCTGCATAATGTACTAATACCATGCTCTATCCTGATTTCTGAAGAACAACGCAAGTTGTTTATCAGTGAACACGAAACATCAACAGACTGCAATGTCATAAAAATGTTTGATTACAAGTAATGTCATTGTTGTCACATAAAAAGTTGTTTTTTTATAATATACAATGTATAAAGTATTCTGTCGATCATTTTGAGGTGTTCGTATTTATTTTCTTTATGTAGAATATTTTAGATAGTCTCACAATGTGTATGCGTGTAACATATGTAGTTAAGAACTATTTCTGTGTTATGATTTACATATTTAAACAGTACAGTACATGTATTACGTTTGATTCTTTCTGTTAACACATAAACACTTAATGTTCAAGTTCTTCATCTTCCGGACTTCATTTCATGTAATTAGTTTCGTATTACAAACAATTATGTGAATAACTAGAGATGTTCTTTTCATAAAACAGTTGAATGACGAATGTATGTACTTCTAAATCACGTAAAAAAGAACCCCCAAAATTCAACCAACACTTGTCAAATAAATAAATAAAAGATAAATGCTTGTCTACATTTTTTGTGTTAGTAAGTTGATGAAATAGTTTAGTTTAGTTAGTTAGACTTGATTATCTTGGTGCATCACTTAGTAACTCGTGTGCACGACATAGTGTCTCGTTCTCACCAGTTAATAATGTCGTACACACGACTTAGTAACTCATGTGCACGACATAATATCTTTTGTGCATTACTTAATTATCTTATGCGCATGGATAGTAAATAGTGAGCTCGGCAGTTTCTCGTGTGCACGACTTAATTATTTCGTGCAAACGCTTTGATTATCTCGTGAGCACGATTTAGTAATTCCTGCTTATGACATAGTATCTCGTGTGCACGAGATACATAAAACACACACGTCACTTCTGTGCCACCGTATGTATCAAATATTAAAAACAATATTTTTATGTATGAACGACACACAAAATCGCCTTCATGACGCAAGCCTGGTTGTCATTCTCACAAATGATCTTTGGTTTATACAGAATTATACAGAATTTATTTTGTTCGAGTGTGAAGGAAGCAATAAACTTACAGACAACACTTTCGAATCCGTTCCTGGACCCAACCACTATTGAGCAATGACTGTAAGATTTCTTGCTCGAAGAAACAACGGCTTGCCCCTGACAGGGTTTGAAAAACGGCCATGTTTCTTTGACGCGCCTACAGTTAAAGAGCGCTTATGTAAGAGTTACACGCTATGGTTGTATATAACGCAAATGACGTCACGTGAAAGTGTTATTTCACTTTGTCTTGTGTTACAATGACTTCATTTCACGTCTGTGCCGTAGTTTATGTAAAGAAAAGTTTATTCATTGATGACGTTGTCTATATGAATTATTATTACAAATATAAGAACATTTATAAAATCATTACTAACAACCATGTGGTTTGCAAACGCATGTTACTATTTCCTGTTTTAAAAGGTATATAAAATGAATTTAGCATCGACGGATCATTCTAACAAGTTTCTGTTATAATATGTTTGGATTGTTTGGAATGACACGCTTTGGATTAGCCTGAATTTATACTTAGATTTTGGTTTTAAAAGAGAGTATATCATAAACGCTTTTATATTATATATATATATATATATATATATATTGAATTATTGTATATTATGTACTGTGTATGATTATGAATAAAATATGTTGAAACTAAATTGTATCAGAAAATGTAAAGACAATAATATGTACCCATTCTCTTATTTAGTTATAAAATAAACATTATTTTGGATTACACCGTCGTCTGAAATTAAACTCTGTTTTTTTTTGTTTTTTTTTTTTAATACATTTGTAGTTATTATAATATTTACCATGCCTTTGAACATATACATATTATGAGAAAAAAAGATTTTGTTTGAATATCACAAAGACTTATTTATCCTATACAATACAAGTTCTTGTATCTGAAATTTGACTATAAAAGCAAGATAACGCATTTGTCCTAGATAAGACACGTATAAAAACCCGTTCCCTATGAACTTGTTTTGAAAAAAATGTATTGCTGTTCAAGCAAATTGTTATTTATGTTCTCTTTTAAGAAATATGATCAAGTTATGGACATATTTTTAGCAATATCAAGTACTAATACTTAAACGTGGCACTATAATGAACTGTGAAATAGACAACATAGGACAAAGTTTGCCCTGAATAAACGAATTACCAGTTCGTGTTCAAAATGAAACCCGTAAATTAAATTAACAGTCTATCATAAAGTTTAAAAGCTTTCATTACAAAAACTAATCAAATTAAATATGCTTTATGGAAAACAAAAAAGTGTTTTTACTTCATTCTGTTGACATGAAATGTAGAAAAGCTGAACAAATAAAAAAAATGTATGATATCTTAAAGAAGTAATATCTATGTTTAGTTTATTTAGTTTAGAGAATTTGGTTTAGGTTGAAAATGCTTCATTGAATTACATGCAGCACAATTTTCTTATACATGTACATTTCCGTCAATACGTAAAATATACATGTTGATATATTTAACTATGCTTCCGTCTTCGTTAGATATGAGGATCAAATTAACAAATGGAGGTGATTAAAGAAAGGGAAACAATTGATCAAAGGGATTCCAATGTTAAATATGACAAGCTAAATTACTGTCAAATGATATTTTATTAAATAATTTCATAACGTGCTTTTGTAACTTGATATTAAATTACGTTTGAACATAACATTGCTTCAATGTTACTTATTTACCAAACCTACTAAAATGTAATGCAAATCATTTTATAATGTTTCCTATATTGTTTCCTATATAAATGATCAACATTATTTGTGTCCAATCACATTGCAGCATTTTTCAAATTTCTCCTTAGTCTAACTTTGGTTATTTGTACTAACTAAATAAAATTTACTTAATCAGTCGTCTAACTTTAAGCAGTTAAGTAAAATTCGATTCTTTGGTTTTGGTTGAAAAATAATGTTGATCATCAAATAGGTAACATTTGTAGTTATTATAATATCTAACCATGCCTTTGAATATATATATATATATATATATATATATATATATATATATATATATATATATATATATATATTATATATATATATATATATATATATATATATATATATATATATATATATATATATACGAGGGTTGTTCAAAAAGTAATAGGACTGCAGCTCTACTGTTCACATTTTTAAATTTACGTACAAAATTTTACATGAGACAAATATCGGAACATGTTCTCTATATACAGTGATAAAATCAAAACAAAATTTAAACAAATGAAATTTCTGTGAAATTTTCAAATGACAAGGGGTTCGAAACGCGGCGCACGCTAACAATACAATAATTGACGTTCATGACGTCGTAAAATTAATCGAAATTGTAATAAGCGTCATTCTTTCCGAAAGTAGTCTCTAGGTGTATGAGTCATGTAACTTTTACTTTGCCTCATAAGTGGAGATGAAGCAAGAAAAAAAGCGATCACATTCTCGTTCCACCGCTTAAAAAAAAAATAAATGCCCGATAGCCGGCCATTCTCCGGGTTTTCTCGTGTTTTTAGTAACGTTGGAACGCAATAGGACTGAAAATGTGAAAGCGAAAGCAATTTATTTTTATTAATTTACTCATGTCATCGTATGTTTTAAAACAATATGATTATATACAGAACAATAAAGATATTTCTCAATTGAAAAGTATCCTTTTCTACTTAGCACAGTCTATCGTTTATTAAAACAAGTTTTCGGAAACACTACTAATTATTACCGTTAACTATTACATAAATTCATTGATTACGCGTATATCTAGTTAAATACAATAAAATAGTGTTCTTAACAAATGTCTTATTTACAATCCTTTGGTTAAAACTGAATAAGTAGACCCGTAGCAGATACAAACAACGATAAACAGTTCGCGTACCGTTTACCGTGGATTCTTTTGTAGCGCTTTTGCAATTGACGTCACTAACGTCCCGTCAATTTTCAACTTTCATCCTCGCCCTTTCTCGTAAGTGATCTTGTATTTGCAGTTTTTGAATTGCTTGTGCCAGCTGAAAACAAGTGTCCTGATGGCAGGATAATTGTCCTCAGTTTATTTAATCATTTTGTGTGTATCTGAATGATTATAGTCAATCTGTTGGCAAAATTCAAAGATGGCACACATTTTCTGTTTGTTAACAAATGTCATATTTCTACATCTAACGCTATGACCGCTGCTGTTCAAAACTTAATAAATAGGCCATTTCATGTCCGAATGACGTCAAATTTGGACATAATGTCACATAAATATATTTCAACGTATTGATGGAATACAGGGGAAAACAAATAGTTATTTATGAATAAATGAGAAGTAGAACTTAGCTCCAATAACTATATTTATGTGCTGCGCCGGGTGCGTGTTACCATGGTTATTCAATAGCAAAGGAAAAGCGCGTTTAGCACAATAGATTTAAAAACTTATGTTTGATTTGTAGAAAACATTTTACGATTGCTGTACATATGAAAATATTTTAAATTGAATGAAATTTGAATACGCAAGACTCCCAGTCCTATTACTTTTTGAACAACCCTCGTATATATATATATATATATATATATATATATGTATATATATATATATTATGAGAATTTTTTTTTTTTGTATGAATCACGAAATAAGGATATCAGAAAGACTTATTTATCCTATACAATACAAGTTCTTGTATCTGAAACTTGACTATAAAAGCAAGATAACGTACTTGTCCTAGACAAAACACGTATAAAAACCCGTTCCCTATGGTTTTTATTACTATAAGTATGATGTAAGAAAATGCAATTTACAAACAGTATATGAAGTGGAAATTTACGATAAGGTGAAAGTAAACGAAAATAACGGTATATTTAACCGAGTTTATGCCATATTGACCTTTATTGTATGTAATTGTATATACAAAAATATATGGCATAGACCAATACGTGTGTGATACAAACTGCCTCAGTAGCAACAGGTTACGTCCCTTGATTTATTGTGTTATAAATGTGTCTCATGTACAATTACTTTTACTTTATAGGCAAATAATGGGTGAGTAATGAAAAATACTCGCACGCCTTTTGGAAAATCTGTGTACAGAATACAAATCTGTGTACAGAATCGTTTTATAAATTCATTATATTTATATTTTAGCAAACAAAAAAAGGGTACAATTGCTCATATCAATATAAATATCGAAACCAATATAGTTTGGATTGAAGTAGCTTGGACTGACGTAATCATTCATCTAAGTAAATATGAACCAAAGTGTTCAAGCGCTTTCCCAGTATTATTATTCAATAAAAAGTGAAGCGAAAACATTGAAAGACAATCCTGTGTTTGGATCAAATGGAGTATATTTGCTTATTCACTAATCACAATAAAACATTTTACACTCATATAATACACTACATAATTGTTTCTCTTAACGCGCTATCTGAACAACACTTAAGTCGAAATATGTGTTTGATACTTTAACAAAAGCTGATGTTTATCTATTCATGTATTCGACAGAGGAGTGTTGGGAGGTGAATAAGTAAAAAAACAAATTTAATTAAAGCAAAGGAACAAACAAAGAGCTTATGATACAAATATAGAAAAAA